GACTTTTTAATACCTAAAGAATAAAAAATACACAAACCTGCATCTGAGTCTTAATCTTGAGCGCAGCTTCTGTCTGTCCGACTGTCATAAGCTGGACGGCGATCTCGTTCATCTCTGCGAGACGGACCTCATTAGCGCGCAAGTCGTTCTGGAAGTCGTCGAACTTCTTCTGCATCACCTCCACCTGCTCCAAGTCCTCGCCCACGTCCTGCACTTGCGCGTGCATCTCCTACGCAACACAAAAAAATTAATTCATTTTCTTAAGATATAGAAAACTGGGAAAACAGTTCAGTGAAATTGAATTTATACCTTGTCTTTGATCCATGTTGCAAGTTCAGCGGCTTCACGTACTAGCACATAAGCTTTCACAGTTTCGTTCAGCTTGTTCTGCCTCTCGCGCGCCAACCCCAGTAGGTTGTCATACTGGCCCTCAATCTACAAATACACCAGAAATTACATCAACTATAATATTATGAAGCACAAATTGAAAACTAATTTTGCGTTTATATCTTCAATTTGTACCTGGTTCTGTCGGGCAGCGATAGAGCTGGAGTCAGCGAGGTTCTGCTGCGAGGATGAGAGGCCGGCATCGATCTTCTTCACATATGCGGCTGGCACAAAGCCCTGGCGGTCGTTCACCTCCACCTTCCACCAGTCCTGGAGGAAAATAATAAACCATGAGACACAACATCACTATGTTTCCGTGTTAACATTTTCTAAACAATTGTTTTACGTTTGTGTTAACTATATAGTTATATTAACACCTTGATAATTCTCACAATAAACACTAGTCATAAACTTGCTATATCGTGATCTCACGGTTCTCACATATTATTTGCATTACAAGAAAAAAAAATCTTTCATAACTATTTAAAAGAATAGATTAAAAAAACAACTATTTTCATAATAACGCAGGTATTCCATCTCTACTTAATGTTATTTATGAAAAACATTTGAGAAGAAAAAAAAAACTCAATTTAATGAATTATCTATACGCACAAATATGCCAAATTATAACTTAATGAAACACAATAAAGTATATTTTACAACAAAACTCACATGCGATAAAATTTCATTATCTTTCTTCTTGTTACTAACAAAAACATTCTCAATGATCACCGCCAACAGCCAACTGAGGACTATCATATTAATTACACAAGCCTCATACAATCACTGATATGTATCTACATAAGTACATAATATATCACTGAGATAATACAATAAATACATAATTGTTTCGGAGACTTGCGCGCGGTGTGCGAGGCTCGATATAAATGAGCGACGTCGTTACGTAAATATAAGCGGATAACGGTAACGAGACGAATCCCGAACAATGCGCATTATGACCAGTGTTATACTTTGAATTACTCACAAAATCGGAATGATTGTTATGTTAAAATATTAAGTGGCCATCATAAGTTATATGTTCTACAGACGAGATCTCCGATAGACATTTACATTGTAAAGTTAACAATATGTTGTTAGGAACTGACCCCAATCGTAACTGCAATAATGCTCAAAACATTTATTTTCCTGACGTTAAGCATATTGGCATATTTACCCTTTGGCTTCATACATAGTGAGTGTTAAGTTAAAGAGTGCAAAAATGTATAAGATATTTCTGAAAGTTTCCTGCAAAGTGAATAAGTCCAAGGGATTTGTGTGTTTACCTTGTTATTGGAGTTGAGTAGAGTGAGCACGTCGCCGCGCTTCATGGAGACCTCGCGCGGGGACTTCTCCGCGTAGTCGTAGAGCGCCACCACGCACTCCTTGCCCGATACATCCACCACCGGTGACTCTTGTTGCTGCACAGCACATTTATTTAAATTTTATTTAAATTCAATTCAGCCATTTAGGCTTCAAACTCAAACAAACATCCATCCATCCATCTAAACTATCCCATTTATAATTTTAGTATGAATCATGATAATAGATTTCTACATCAGTAAATTCTTTTTCCTCATTGTAAAGTTTCCCTAGTAGAAAAAAGCATATACATACCCTGCAAGAGTTGGCCTGTTCGCGCAGTGCTTTAATGGTGTTGCCGAACGCCTCAAGGTCGGAGAGCAACGCCTCGTGTTTTTTGAGCAGAGCCTCGGAGGAGTCCTCGTCCTTGCCGTAGTCCTGAGTGTTGGCCATCGGCTCCTTCTCGCGCATCCATGACTCAGCCTCGTTAGCGTCCGCGAAATACTGCTGTGCTTGCAAAGAATCCTCCAGGTCTTGTTTACGCTGCAAGAATTTACACATAATTTAATTTAAGAATTTGAGGTACTTTGTTGCTTTTTCTTAACATCGAAAAACAAAATTAGTATTGTTATAGAATAGTTAACCTGC